GTGGCTTCCCACCTTCTTGTCATATCTTTTATAGAGAATCAAATTTCAATGTATATCTACGAAATTTGCAGAGAATATAGTGAATTTTTATTTCATGAAATATAGATAAGACAAAACTTAAAAATTTGGATTCATATTTCGCAAGATAAATTTACATAGCAATCTTAAATCTTAATAATGACTTCATGCTTAGATTGTCAGGTAAATTTCGACTTAAGAAGATGATTCTATTGAATAATAGATCGAGAATGTAGTATCTATCTGAACGCGTCTAGTACGCGTATGGGCGCTGCCAAAGAGTCTGAGATATATGGCGAAACGAATTAAGATGGAGGTTTGTTCAAGATTCCCACGAGAATTTTTAGGCATTAGATTGTCGTTTTTGAATCTAATCAAGATTAAAGAGCACTTCAGATTAACGTACGAATCTTATTGGGGGGATATTGTTGCTGGCGCCTCGCTGCTTAAAATTGAAATCCTGAAATTTTAAACCGTTTAAATCCTAAGTTTCATCAAATATCAATTGAAATTTGATCTTTCCGAAGATTGATAGTAAGGATTCCCGAAGAGGCAAGAATCCGAAAGATCTGTGGATTTTTTAGATTTTAGATATAAGAGTGCAAGAAATAATATTATCTATTTTTCGTATAGGCATTCTTTGATGCCATCAAAATTTTCGAGCCGGGGAGCGTTGACAAGGTATCTGTCTGTCATATTGGTCGGTTTATTATTGGAAGTCGTGGGAAGGGAGCCAAATAGCCAAATTTTGGCGGAATCCAGAATCATATCTGATAATAGGTCTGAAGATATAGTCGTATACCGCTGGCTTGTGTTTGGAGCTCTGGCAACAAATTTATTCCCAGGTAACCATATATGCCACGCGTATTTCGACTTCCCTATCTCGCGTCCATGTGGGGATGTGCCGTGGAGCGTCATTGCTGCGAGTGGCAGAGGGCAGGTGCTGATCCAATGATATGCCTTGTTAAGAGACGATATAGGGATAGCTTCAATGGAAGCTCTCGATCTCATAGATATTAGCTTACAAGTTGGTTTACAAGATCTACGCCAAATCGAAGAGTCGTTTGGAGGAGTCTTAATCGTTGAATTGACCGGTCGTTCTGAAGTTACTATATCCGCCCTAATATAAAATCGTCTATAAAAATCACAGATCGTCTAGCGACTGACCTTGTCGCGATTTCAACATACGAATATAGAATTTGGAGAGAGACGTTTATTTTTCGATATTGATATTATCCGATATCTGAGCCTTTTCCACGAAGATCTATCTTTCGACTGCCTTTTCGTCGGACACATGACGATTTTCTAAGTATCATATGATAATATTTAGAAAATCCACACGATGAGATCTCCCGACGAGATTCTCGGAATTCTCATAATACGATATCTTCTCATTTCGCGGAATGATTAGACCTCGGAACTAAATGACAAATTTCTGTCCATCTATTTCTCGGACACGATAATTATCGAATGGTGCGCATCCATTTCCATTTGCGACGACAATCGAAGCTAATTCATATCATTTTTCTGAATTTCTATATATCGTATATATTGCAAGATTTTCATTTGGAATATTAGAAGATTTTCACTTGGAATCTCGTATATTTCTAGTCGTTCGACGAGCACGAAATTGGCGTCAAATAGAATCCATTAATTCGTCGTAGCAATCTCGTAATAATTATTATATATATTGTATTAATTAGAGAAGACCACGAGAAGCGTATTTTTGGTCACGAAATCCGACAAATCCCACCGAAATCATATTACCGACGAAGATATCATAATGAAAAACAAAAAAATCAATCTCTAAATTTTCTTCGCCTCAAATAAAACTACTTCGACTCTAAATTTATCAATTTAAAATTATGGATTATATTTATTCTACCTAAATTCGGGAGCTAAACCGACCTCCATATCTTTAATCTTGTCATTACGAAAACAAAATCAATTTGCCAATCATAGAACTATAAACGAATATTAACACTAAATTCAATATAAATATATTGCAATCTAAAATAAATATTTCGATTTCAACGATTTTTTATCTTTCTCTTTATTTTAATTTAGTTTTCATATTTTTTTATCATTATTTAACTATATATATATCTAAATCATCAAAATAATCCTTCTTACGATTCCTTTATATCAAAAAGTAGTTTATCTATGTTTATCGAAAATTACCTAACGAATATATTTCGTCGTGTTACTACTACATAATAAAAAAATACGTATCGATCGGCTGTCACCTGTTGTTGGAAACAACGAAGCCGTTCTAGTATACCCTAAAAGTCTCATCAATTATCATTGTATTGTATTAAATAAATATATATATTTGTAAAATCATCGAAGCTAATATATTATAAAAATATATTTCTATGTATATATATATATATATACCTCATATCTCCAAATTTTCAAAGACGCGACCTATAAAATCCTGAACACCTAAATTAAATCGGTTGTACCCCCAAAGTCTTTGCACTGTATCTTCAGAATTGACCTGCTAAAGCTGAAAGGCCTTAGCTCAAAAGCCTCAAAATGGTCCTGTGCGAACCGATAAATCTAGATAATTTATTGGTCATTATTGATGGGAGATGTGACATCTTTTTTGGAGAAGCTATTCTGGCTGGTACGACGATTGCATCTACCCTTTGGGAGACAGGATGTAGGCCAAAGTGCTCTCAGTATGCGCGATTGGTGGAGCAGTCGAAGATATTTGGTATCTGTCTGCTTTGTCATGATCAGACGCCAAGATTGGTTTAGTGATGGAGATGCTCTAAATCAGAATCGCGGATGCGCCACCTCCGGAAAACATACTTGCGTCACTTCTTGCTCTTGCTCTTGGCCTTAACAGCCGGCCGCTGTTTGACCTGACATCACCACTAAAAGGACATAGACAGCACTGATTTCTGGGAGGCATCAACATCCTGGACGAACAGCCATGGCCACAGCAGTCCGTGTCTTAATTCGCCGGCCTTCGTAGAAGCTTCCTCTGCGAGATGCAAGCACAGAAACAAGAACAAGCTTGCAAGCTGAATTGGAAACTCCTGTAGTCTAGTTTCGGCACGGACTCAGTCGAGATCAGATCTGCAAAACAAACATGTTCTAAAACAGACTTGCGGGCCCCTTAGAGGCAGCACGAAGAGTGTGAAGTGGCTCTGTGCTCGCTGACTTTAGTTCGAAAGTTTGCAACCGACAGGATGCGAGCCAAGACATCTGCGCAACTCTGAAGTTGTGAGGCCCCAAACCACCCAAGACATCCTCCTCGCGCAGCAGCTGCTCCATCGCTTTCTTCGCAAGCTTCTCCTTTGATCGTGTGAGCCAGCAGAGTACTTCCAACTGCCCCGAAGTTCGCAAGCAAAAAGCCGAACTCTCCAACCACGATTAAACCCTAAACCCTAAACCCTTAGAATCCTTAAACCCCTAAACCCTCAACCCAATAAGCTTCGGTCCTGTTTCATCTGCTCTTCTTGAGCCAGCTTGGCCTCCACTTCCTTTCGCCTCTCCGCCTTTGGGAGGCCGCTTGGGGTTTAGGGTTTAGGGCTTAGGGTGTAGGGTGTAGAGTTTAGGGTTTAGGGTGTCGGGTTTAGGGTTTAGGGTTAGGGGTCTTAGGAAATTGAATAGGGGTTTGGGGGTTCCTGATTCGTATGTATAGTCTTGTAGTATGTAGTTAATAAAGGTAGTTCTCTACATTAGGGTCCCTTTTTAGGTCCCCGTGCCAATACAGTACAGCAACCCTACTTTAGAGAACTACCCATGTAGCGAGACAGCTTCCGAACAACTTTGAAAGGCCACTGCGCACATGAGCTTGCAAGAGTCTGTCGCATGAACTGCAAATCTGAGCCAGACTGGCCTTGAGCCAACCCACATGGGACTTTCCGAAAATTAGGGTACCTTATTTTGGGGGTCCTTGTAAAAAGAATCCTACTATTTAGGGCACTATATTAGGATCCCCTAGTTTCGGAAACCCCCACATCTGGATAAGCGTGAAAATGAAGCGTGAGCCTTCTCTCGCTCCTTCTTTTCCTTCTCCTTGTCCTTCTTGACCTGTCGTCATCGCGAGAAAGCCGCCTGGTCCATCATCGATTAAGCTAAACCTCACAAGACTACCCAATTCTTGGGAGTGTGCTTCTGAGGTGCTTTAGCAAAGCTCTACATAATGGCCCATCAACATACTCTCTGCCTCTTTCTTCTCGGCTTGCTGCTGCTTTTGCATGCGCCATACCTGCACAGCCTGCATGGCATCAACACTTGGGTAAAGACACTCATTGAGCTTTGCAACCTCGCGACATCTTCCTTGCTGCTGGCTACTGGAGCAATTCTCGTCTACATCCGGCAGCACCCACGGCCTGATTAAAGATGTGGCCGTTCCTGGCAAAGATTTGCAGGGCCCGAACCCGCACGAGTGCTTCCCTCGGACGACGGAACGACAATGGCACAGGCAACAGATGCCTAATGTAATGGTCAACTTCCAGACATGCTACAAGCAGTCATCTTATGTGTCACCCGATCTGAATACAAGGCACCACGCTCGTTGGAGTAGTCTCCATCGTTCCCACCCGCCACGTAAGCCTTTCCTATCCACCCACCGGTCAACATCATACGTCTACGAAGGAAGCTAGGACACACAAGTAGTTGCGCAGCCGTCACAGACCGTAGAGGCAATCCAATATATTAGGCTTGCTCGGACGAGCTAGCTGTTGCTGTCTGGTTAGACCAGATGTCACAAGTAGTTGGACTGTGAACGGTGCCCACCCCATGTGCTTCCTTCACTTCGACACGATTTCGAGTTGTAAGGAGCCATTTTGAAGCCCTCAGAATGTATCGAGCCTGCTAGTGGTTTTCCAGACATTCTCTCTAGCAGTGCCACGGGCGGCCCGGCCATGGGTCGTGGTTGAGCATCGGCTGCGATCGAAGCTTTCGTAATGTATTGTGAACACCAATTCCAAGTTGACGACACCCTCATGTCATGAAGGTTCCGATCAGAAGAGACCCCGGTGCAGGGCATGGTTCGCTGAACAGGGTGGCCAGCAGCACGCCAACCAGGACTTGGATTCCAAGAACGCGAGGCACCCACCCGGATGCTGTACTCGGCACATTGGTTGGGGGGGGGGGGGTAGAAGAAAGGATGTCGGGCAACCAGACGTGTCCGCTTGGACTAGACTCGCCCGAAACCTTCCTTCGTCTCGCGTTGCACTGCTGGGATCCTTGAAAGTAGGATGCAGGCCGCTAAGCTGAAAAAGACGCCGGCTTTTGACGGTGTTGGAGGCCCGGGGACATGCAGAAACTACCCTTCTCTCTGGAGCCCGGCCCTGAAACCTCAGCAACTCTAAGCGTCGCCAGTAGTTCCAGCCCGGTTCCAGAATGGCTGCCTCTGATACCTGGGCTCGTAGTTGGCTTGGCCAAAATCGGATCATGAGATGAGCCGCGCAGACTAGATGGAATCCAACCTAGCCTCCACGGGCTTGCTGCATGCGCCTCTTTGTGCTAAAAAGCCGCCAAGCTAAATCACAACCCTAAATCAAGTTCTGGGAGTGGTCTCTCCATTGCTCTTGGCTACAAACTTGTCCCCACGCTGCTCTACAGCCGGCCGTCCGGAAAAAGGGGTGATCACCGGCTCTCTCTTGCCGTCAGGGCGCGCAGCTACTGATCTCGTCGGAGACTATCTGCTCCGCCTGGACCCAAGGGTCAACAACAGGCACGCAAGCAGGTCCAAGAATTGGGGAGCCTAGTCCGTGCCCGAGGCCTCCAGCAGCGAGGCCCAGTACCGCTCCGAGACCAGTTTGCCACGCCAGAGCCGGTAGTTGCCTGCCAAAGAGCCAGCGATCAGGGCAACTTGTGCGAGCCGGTGCTCCGCGGTGCTCTGCGGTGCTCCTGGCCTGGCTTGTCCCGCTGCACCTGGTCAAGCCGATCCTCAGAGTTCACTCTCTCTTTGGGCTCCCTGGCAGGGGGGGGACTTGGGGACTTGGGGACGGCTACGACTCGGCTCCCAGCCAGGCAGCTAACAAGGCGCCTTTTTTTCGGGAAAAACGAGCTGACTCTGAAAAGAATCGGCCTGAAGGCGCGCCTCATCAGGGCCTGCTGTAGCACCCGGCGTTCCTGCAAGCCAGTCTGGAATGCGGGAGAAGAGGGCACCCATTTCCGGAGTCCGACCTCCAGCGTGAGGGCTTGACGAACCCAAGCATCTTGCTCCTGCGGCAGACAGGGTTGAAACGTGTCTCACTACCTGAACACTTCGAAACAACCGACAAACCGAGAGCATTGCTTTAGATGATTAGGTCCAAGCCAGTGTAACACGTCTAAATTGCAAGGCACCTCTGGCTCTGTGCTTTCCACCGGTGCATCCGGAGCCTTCTGCTGTCGCAGACGCTCTTTCCTCGCATACAACGCATCAGGCGAATCAAACGAGATCTCGCACGAAGTCAAGGGTGGCTTGTCTTTCAGCGGGAGGGATTTGGTTTGTGTGATTTGCAACGAGATTTGTGACTGTCTGACTGTGTGCACTAGGGCTCAAGCAGCTCGTAGTAGGCAATGATCTCGGCCTCAGACAACTCGCACTGGTACCTGTCGAGGCGGTGCTCTGTCCAACCCTATCTGACAAGGTAGCCTGCGCTCAGTGTCAGTGCTCGAAACGTCCAACCCGACGTGACACAAGCCCAAGCATTTGTGCGCACGTCTCTTGCACCGCCTGCAGGACCAGGGGCACGGGTTTACTCGGCCAGAGCCCCGACACCACCCTCTACGACTCTAGGGGCAAATTTCTAACAGACCCTGACAGTAAGCTTAAACCCGTTGGCCTCTAAGCCTGAGCGGCCTAAAGAACAGCTCTAGGATTTGGCCTCAGAATCGCACAGTCATCATCTGCCTTAACACCTCCAATGTTCGAAAGCTTGGAACCGGCATCGCTCTTCTTTCTTCCGGCCCAAGTATACGTTCGAACAGAGGGTGCGCAATGGAACCTGGTTGCTTTGGACGAGAATCCATGGTTTCAACGCTGACATGAACAGCAATGATTTCAATGACGATGGTGGCGAGGAGAATTACTGGCAGCGGACGATGCTTGTCATGGTGCTGCTGGCACATGTGATGACAATGCTGACCATATACCTGCAGAGGATTGGGATGGACATTATATGTAAACTTAAACTCGACACTCTATCCGCACGACACTGATCTTGTACGGTGAATCTGCGCTGGGCACATGCGCTTTAGAGAATGCCAGCGTGTCTGCTGAAGATGCTGCTGCTGTCTCAAGTGCAGCCACTGAAGCTTGTGACAATGTCCAGCCTCCACGAAGAACTCGCTGGGCCTGGACACAACAAGCATGCTGGCTCCAGTGGAATCCCATGCAGCTCCTCTTATCGACTGTTGTACTTTGACAGTCTGAGCTGTGCCCAAGATCAAGCGGCAAACTAAGGCCCGTGTCCCCGCTGCTTCAAACATCAACCGAGCTTAAGGACATGATATGGGACCCGCCCACACACTTCGAGATCGGCATTGCAAAATCCTAACACGCCGAACCTGCACCTGCAAGCTCCACTTGAAGAGACCCCTCTGATATCCTTGCACTTCTGAGGTGGCGGCTTTGAGCCTCTCCAGGCAACGTAGGCCATCCTCCCCGAGAAGCTTTTCGGGGTTGGGAGGCTTCCGTTTAAGGTATGACTGTGAATTATGCTGCGTTGTCAAGCCCCTACAGCATCACATATCCAGGCACAGCTTGTTATGATATCCACACCAGACAGGGAAGTCTGCCGATCGGACTTTGAGGGTCACAGCACGCTGTTCCGGGGAGGTGCCCTCCAGGTTCAAACATGCCGAGCCGGACAAAGAGGCTGCAACGGCCACCACGAAGAAGAAACATCCAGCCTGGACCATCTCAACTTAAAGCAGTGCTGCCAGAAGTTTACGAGTTTCGAGAGCCTGCCAGGCAAGGCTGCGAAAAGTTGATGACACTTCCGAGGCTCGCGCGAAGAACAGCTCTGACATTGCCATCGTGCTGGGCTGCGAACCCTTATCGCATGACCATGCCTGTTGTTTTGCGTGATATTTCCTTGCAGACTGCAGTTGCCCTCTTTTAAGGCGTAGGCACCGCGCAGTAGGCGGGTTGGGTGGACTTGCCGGTGCATGAATGGATCGAGCTGCACTTACTAAGTGATTCACTGCATCAGCTGCTTGTCTGAAACCTTACGTGGCTTTGGTTTCTGCGAGGTGTGTCTGTGTGCGTGGGAGGTTTGGTTGCCGTCGTACAGCATGACAATTCACCTGCCGGCGAGTGCCTGCGAGAGCCCATCAAGGCGAAGTCTTAAGCACAGAGGGACGGTGAGGGAATAGTACTAGCAATTACTACTGCTGCTGCTACTACT